TTGATATTTAAATATATACTTGATTGTTTTTTTGAATTATTTGATTGATTGCTAAAATCCTGTTTTGATGATGCTTCAGAACCTAATACTGAAAAGATTTCGGGTAGGTCATATTCTAATATTCACCTTTAGCTATTAAGACACCATCTTCATTATTAAATTGTGGTTGTTAGGTTGATTTATTCTTTGTCTTGCATATTTAATTAAAGATATGAGTATAAGTTGCAATCTGCAGATGTTTTGATTTTCCACAATGAATAAATAACATCTATATACTTGAACAGTTCTAGTACTTGGTAAGTCTGATTATAAGTTTGCATTTATAAAGTTGAAAGAATGGTGGGAGATGCCAGTAGAAGGATGAAATATAATATTATATGAGAATAAAGCAATGGCATTATTAGTATTGGCACTAACTAACGAATGGTGATTGGCTATTTTGAGAACCTGATGAAATTGATGTTAAATGCACTGCCACATCTAAAAACTCTTGTTACACGGTTTAAATGATTAATTGCTAATTTAGATTCATTCTCTTTAATAGTTGCTAAATTATCTATTTATTTATTTATTTATTTATTTATTTATTTATTTATTTATTTATTTATTTAAACCAATAATATGTTGCCTCTTTAGGATGTGTAATTTCTTTATTTTATCAATTTCTGATTTCAAACTGTTTCCAAATGAACCTTTTGGGTCAGACATCTCTAATTTTCAAAGTTGTTCATCTTGTATCATCATATAAATTGGAAGCTCGTCATCGAGATTTCTTGGATCTGTAACAAAAATACAGTGCCCGGATTATATATGTAGACCCCCCCAACTTTTATTAAATCATTTATAAAATAAGATTTACCAATAATAATTTTTATATGAAGAACCTTACCGCCAATAATTATTAATATTTAAAAATAAATCGTTAGGAGTGGGTGTGGGAAAAATAAAAAAATAAAAAAAAAAATTTCTATATTTTTTACCACATTTTTATTTTTAAAATTTTTTTTTTTTTTTTTCATTAATTTAATAATTAAGTGTTACTATAAGTATAAAAATAATAATTAGTAAATAAACAAAATGAGGTTAAGTGATGAAGTTCGGTACTCAATATTATCATATAAAAACAGAGGTCATAAGTCGAACTCAAAAATTGCAAAAGAATTGGGAGTGCATAAATCAACAGTAGCAAAAACATTAGAAAGAGTAGAACAAACAGGCACAATCAATGACCGTAAACGTTCTGGGAGAAAAAAAAAGTTTAACGAAGGTGATGAACGTATTTTATGTTACAATTTTTTAAATGGTAAATTTAGCAGTATAAAAGAAAGTATAATTTGGTATGAACAAAATGGATATGGAACAATATCAGACAAGTCAGTTAGAAAGATATTAAAGAGACATAACATAACATATAAAAAGAAAGTTAAGAAACCTCCATTGAATAGACAAAATAGAAGAAAAAGATTTTTATTTGCTCTTGCACATAAAACCTGGACTGTGGAAGATTGGAAAAATCACATGTTTATGGATGAGGCAAAGTTCCAACAATTCGATAATAACCATGATAGGTGTGCTTGGACTTTTAACACTAATGTTTTACTAGAATCACGTATCAAGACAAGTGTTCGAAAGGGTGGGGTTAATGCTATGTTTTGGGGAAACATTGTTTATGATGGCCCAGGTTATTTAGTTCATTTACCCAACGGATTAGATTCTAAACTATATCTTGAAATTATAAAAAACGATACACAACTAACTTTGGAATACTATGCAGAAGAAAATAAAGTGCCTGAGAGGGTCCCAGTCATTTGTCATGACAACTGTAGTTCGCATACAGCAAAGATAGTGAAACAATATTTAGAAGAAAATAATATACAAGTTGATCCAATACCACCCTACAGTCCAGATATAAATATAATTGAAAATCTTTGGTCAATTGTTAAAGAAAGGGTATCAAAAAAGATGTTTCGTGACCCATCACAAAACCTAGTTCGGGTATGTCAAGATGCATTTCATTCAATAGAAAAATCAATTATAAAATCATTATATGAATCACTCCCTGACCGAATGGATGCCATATTAAAAGCACATGGAGGGTATACTAAATATTAAATAATAATAATCATTTATATTTAATTGTAAAAAAAAACAAATAAAAAATAAAAAAAAATTTTGAAATTGAAAAAACGGATTAAATATTAAGACCCTATTTTTTTTTTTTTTTTATTTTAATTTTTAGCAAATAAGCCATATCTTGTAATATGATTTATTTTAGAGGGTCATTATATAAATATTAAAATATGATCTATTAATTCATAATTATCATTTCAATTTTTAAAAAGTTGGGGGGGTCTAAATATATAATCCGGGCACTGTAACATTGTTTATAAAAAGAAAATCAAGAAACCTCCATTAAACAGAGTTACAAGAAGAAAAAGATATGGGTTTGCAATTGCACATAGAAACTGGACTGTGCAACGTTGGGAAAACCATATGTTTATGGATGAATCCAAGTTTCAAAAATACGATAACAACCATGATAAAAGCTCTTGGACCTTTAACTCTAATGTTTTACTACCTTCACATATTAAAACAAGTGTTAATAAGGGTGGGGAGAGTGCAATGTTTTGGGGAAACATTGTCTATGATGGTCCTGGATATTTAGTTCATCTTCCAGAAGGTTTAGATTCTAATCTCTATGTTGAGATCTTAAAAAATGATACACAACTAACTTTGGAATACTATGCAGAAAAGTTAAAAGTACCTGAGAGGGTCCCCGTAATTTGCCATGACAATTGCTCCCCTCATACTGCAAAGATAGTAAAGGAGTTTATAAGAGAATTCAATATTTCCGTTGATCCATTACCACCTTACAGCCCCGATATTAATATAATCGAAAATCTTTGGGCTATTGTTAAAAAAAGGTATCAATTCGAATGTTCAATAACCCAAATCAAGACCTAATCGAATGTTGCACTGACGTTTTTCATAACATTAATCCCGAGATTATAAAAAATTTATATAAATCCCTTCCACAAAGAATGGAGGCGATAATAAAAGCTCATGGAGGATACACTAGATATTAAGTATATTCATTTGTTAAAATCAAAAAATAAAAAAATTTGAAAATAAAAAAAAAAAAAATTTTAAAATTAAAAAAAAGAGATAAATATTGTAAACATATAATTTTTTTTTTTTAATTTTAATTTAAAGGGTTTTAAATGAATTTATATCTAATGAAGTTAATTTATTAGCCTTACATTATATTTAAATATTATAATCTAAATATCTTTTTTTAATATATAAATTTAAAATCGGGGGGGGGTCTACATATTTTCCTCGGGCACTGTATAAAAAAATGAACTTCGTAAAATAAATTATATGAATTTTAAATAATTATAAAGGTAAATAAGTATTTTTTTATTTATTTATTTATTATTTATTTATTTATTTATATATTTATTTATTTATATTTAATCATCTTTAATTAATAAAAATATAATATAAAACACCATATTCTTTTATTTAATTATTTATTTTCTTTTTATTTAATTATATAATTAAATTAAAATATAAACTATAATAAACATGAAACTTTTATTTAAATATTTTGTTATTTATAAGATTTTTTATTATTTTTTTTTCATTTGGTTTAATTTAGGATAAAAGTGAAATTTAAGAAAATTCAAAAGTAAACTAAAATACAAAATAGTGTTGATTTTTAAAACCTCATCCAGTATAAAAAAAAAGAAAAAGTCGAGTACACTTGAAAACAATAATCAAAATTTTAAAAAATAATTTAATTTTTATAATAACAAATAAATAAACAAAATTTTATTTGACTATAATAAAGAAAAATAAAATATTTCATAAAAAAAAAAGTAATTTATTTGTATATTTTTAATGCTATTAACATAGAACTATTTTATTTATTTAATTTTTTGATGGTAGTTCTTTGTTGTTTTATTAATATATTATTTAAGACTTGCTGGTGATGTTTCTAGGTTCAATCTTAGTCTCTTATTGGATGTACATTTCACTTTCGATATTATAACTTTTATTATATTTTCTACAACCGAGTGACTTGTTACTTTAGTGTTTATTAAGTGATTGAAAAATTATGATTATCTTCAGTTTTTACCAATTATCGTTATCACCGTAGGGGAATAATACCTGATTTAATTGTTTTCTAATTTCATTTTCATTATAAGCTGTCTTTGGGTGTTGTCTGTGATTCTTCCAAAGTATACCCCCAATTTTTAGTAAATATCAACACATTACCATAGCCATTTTAAATTTTTAATATAATATTTATTTTTAAAAATCTAATAATTTTTTTAAAAATTTTTTTTTTTTTATTTTTTTTTTTTTATTTTTATTTTTTTTTTATTTTATTTTATTTATTTTTTTTTTATTTTTATTTTTTTCAATACACAACAAACAAACAAACAAACACATAAATAATGTAAACTATAGTAAATTAATACATTATTTTAAAACAACTTTCGCTTGCCATACATAAACATATGTTTTAACAGAAAAGTTTAATTCAACTTGATCTTATTGTAAAGAAGACAATACAAATGATCTACAACTAATTGGTATTGCTTTATTCTCATATAGTATAATGCTTCATCCTTCTACTGGCATCTCCCACCATTTTTTCTACTTTATAAATGCAAACTTATAATCAGACTTACCAAGTATTAGAACTGTTCAAGTAGAATTAGCTCAAGAAGGTCTTCAATCCGAAAATTACAATATTAAATCAGAGATTACAATTATTCAAGATAAATTTAGTAAAAAATCTTTCCACACTGTTCATGATACTTCAGAAGAAATCAATGGTGATAGAATTAATTAATTAAAGAGATTGAACATAAATTTGGAAGTTATAGAATTGCAAAAGAGAATTTAGTAATGGAAAAAAGATTTAGAAACAAAACAGTTTTTAAAAAGTCAAAGAAATAGCAGTATTTTTGTTGTAGATCCAAGAAATTTCAATGACGAGCTTCCAACTGAAATGATGATACAAGCTGAACAACTTTGAAAATTAGAGATTTCTGACTCAAAAGGTTCATTTGGAAACAGTTAGAAATGAAAATACTCAATTAAAATTGAAAATTAAAATATCGAAGAGGAGATAAGACAAAGAATGAAAGAAAAGTTAAATATTTTAAGAGAATAAACAAATCTTCAACTTTTAAATATAGTGCCCTCAAAGAATCACTCTTAAGATCTCAAAAATAGATGTAAATAGGTTATTGATTTAGAATTTGTTTAAGACGAATATCAAGATGGTAATACTAAACTTACTGACCGTATAAAGCGTTACAATAAACCAGGTGGAAATGATCAATAGATAATGTCAATTCAAACAAATTTTGACGAAATGACAACATTTAAACACATTAAAAAATGAAAATACTATTCTCAAATCAGAAATTGAAAAAATAAAAAAATTACACATCCTAAGAGGCCAACATATTATTGGTTTAAACAAATAAATAAATAGATAATATAGCAACTAATGAAAGAAGAAAGAGAAAAGAAAAAGAAAAAAAGGAAAAAGGAGGGGAAAAACAAAGAGAAAAACATAGAGACAGAGAAAGGTCAGGATCCAAAGATAGAGAAAAAGAAAGAAAAAGATCAATTTCAAAAGAAAAAGATAAAGAAAGATAAATAAAACACATTTATTATATAATTATCAATCTTTATTTTTTTTTTTTTTTTTTTAAAAAATTTTATAATTTTATAATTTTATAATTTTTAAGTATTATTTGATTCTTTTATTTAAATTATTAGGGCACGGTAACATCAATTCGTGTGTGATTCGGAAACTTGAGAGACTTTTATATTTTTTTTATTTATAAAAAATTTATAAAAATTAATTTTTTTAGTTTACAAATGTACATAATAGCATTCTTTTTTGTGATTAATGAATAAATTATTAATATCATTATTATTATTGTGTGTGCAGAAATTTTCAAATACAAAAATTAATTATTTTTTTTATTTTTTTTTTTATTTTTTTTTTATTATTATTGAATTATAATAAAGAATTTCTTTTAGTAAATATAAGAGATTATAACCAAACTGGGAGTGGAACGAGTGGCTGGAGTATCTCTTGTGGGCAGTTTCTAGAGCTTCTATATTTTTCATACCAACACATTCCAATAATCCCTTCTAATTTCTAACACGATTCGAGGTAAGCTTGTGACAAGCTTACCTCTAAAGCTCCGAACCGCCTCGGTTTTCAAAAAAAAATGTTATCCGAAAAACGAATCGGATATTAAATTTAAGAACCGTATTTGCGAATATTCAAAATAATCTGATCGAATAAAATTTTTTTTCGCAAAAATATTAAAATCTATTCAAAATAATATAATAATAAAGCTTTTTAATGTTAAAATTTGTTACCACCAAATTATTTTTTTAATATTTAATTTTTTTTTTTTTATATTTAATTTTTTTTTTTTTTTAATTTTTTTTTTCATTTTATTATTAATATCATCTAATTTAAATACATTCACAATTACCCCACTCGGAACATGTAAATATTATAAAAACCCTACCCTCCATTAATTGGTAATAAAGATCCATGCACAATTAGACCAATCAATATTTTTATAAACAAAATAAATTAATTATAATATAAATTTAAAACAATTATAATAAAAAAAATAAAATAAAAATTACAATGTATTAGATTATTAGAAATTTTTTTTTTAAGTAATAAGAAAGGTGACTTAACAACCACTAATAAATGATGTTTTAATTTAATAATAAAAAAAATAATAAATTAATAAAAAAAGACACCATTTATGTGAAAATTGTTAAAAATATATATAAAAAATTTTTTGATTGTATGTTTTATTAATAATATATTATTTAAGACTTGTTGGTGATGTTACAAGGTTCAATTTTAGTTTCGTCTATTTGGATATAAATTTCATCTTTTTGATATAATTTCTTTAAATATATTTACTAAAACTGTTTGACTTTTAACTATTACTTTTATTGTTAAGGTTTTTATTTAATTTTTTATTATTATCTGTTGCAGTAAAAGTTTAATTATTATTGATCATTTTATAACTATTATTTACTATTTTAAATATTAAAATTCTTTAGTTTTATTTTTATATAGTAAATAATATTCCTCTTGAATATTACCAATATTTAATGTTTTTAAAAGTAGTTTATAAATCGGTGATGATTAACTAAAAAGCTATTATTGTTTTTATTGTTGCAACCGCTACTACCGCTACTCCCATTGCTATCATTACTATTACAACTGCTTATACTACTTCAACTTGCGCTTCGGGCTAAATTGATACTATTATTATTTAGATTGCTATATTCACTAATACTACTATTTAAATTATAGTTACTATTACTATTTTTTTTAAAATGAATGTTGTAG